AAAAAAAAAAAAAAAAAAAAAAAAAAAAAAAAAAAAATCAAGTTTAACTAGGTATGGTAGAACGCTCCTGTAATCCCAGCACTCAAGGATCACAAGGCCAGCCTGGGCTACAAAGTGAACTCAAGGCCAGCCTGAACTACATACCTAGATCCTCTCTCAAAACAAAACAAAAAGTTAAGATTAGCCTAAGTCCCAGAAGCTGAGGCAGGATGATCACTTGTGCCCAGAGGTTCAAGACCAGCCTGGCTACACAGTGAGATGGTCTCAAAAATGGATCAGTGAGTAAACAATGAAACAATGTTAAAGATCAGAAAAAGCTTAGTGAGCTCAGAGCCTGATGACTCACTTAACTGATGAATTTCAGTATCAGTGCAATCCTCAAACTCTTCCCAAGCACCAAAGAGGAAAGAATACTTCCTAACTAGTTCCAGTGGCCAGTGCCAGCCAACATCAGAGACAGAAAACCACAGACCAACTGCCCTCAGCCACAAGGCGGCCAAAGGGGAAGGATCAGGACCACATCGGGCAGGACCTGCAGGGTGCAAGGGAATCACCAGGGCATCCTGCGTCCACAGAGCAGCCCTGCAATGCAGTAAAGGCTGCTGACAACACCATACCTTTCTCAGTTAGCCAGGACCAGAGGAGAATTTCCTCGGTGACCTGAGAGCCACATGTCCCAAGCCCGGTGAGCACATGCTCTCCCAGGCCCACAGCCAGACAGGGACCCCGCTACTGTGTGACATGGTGTCTAGCCCCACCAAGGAGCTCAGCAAGAGATGTGAAAGTCACCTAAATCAAGAAAGGAGACAAGCGCTATTCTCGGATGACAGAACTCTGCATGTGCAAGTCCCAAGTCCACATTCTAAGAAAGATGTTGAGCTGGGAGGTGCAGCACTTGCCCAGTAGCATGTGTGGGGTCTTGGGCTCAATCTCCAGGGCCAAGAAACAAGCAGTGAAGTTTAAAAACTGGGCATGAGCTGGTGGCTTATATTTGTGATCTAAGCACTGGGGAGGCTGAAGCAGTCCCACAGGTGAACTCCTATACCAGTCAATTTAGCAAGATGCTGTCTCAGGTGTGGCTGGAGACAGCTCAGTGATAGAGCACCCTTGGGTTCAATCCCCAGTACTGAGGGAAAAAACTGTAATCCCAGCTACTCAAAAGGCTGAAGCACAAGTTCGAGGCCAGCCTGAGCAATTTCGCAAGACCCAGCCTATCTCAATAGAACGAAATAAAAAGGTCTGGAGCTACAACTCAGTGCCCTCCAGTTTAGAAGCTGAGGCTTTAAGTAGGTATTTGTCCAGGGACACGCACACACTGCACAGAGATGAGGCCTTACAGTGAGGGAGATGCAGATCCACACAGTTGGATCCACCTCATAACCGTCAGGATTAAAGCTGTGACCAGAAAAGCTACAGATGCCAGGGAAGCAGCATGGTTCCCACATGGCCTTGCCATTCTACCCTGGGTGCCCACACCTGAAAATGGCACAGCCAGCAGAGTGAAGGGTAGCAGGTGTGGCATGTGCCACCCACCCAGGGTCAGAAAGGACCCTATGCTCCCATCCTTGGGAAACCAGAACGCAGGTCACAGTAGGACAGGCTGCCAACAGCAGGGTGTCAGGGTGTGGGCTATCACCCGGGGAGGGGACAGTCCCAGCTGTGCCTGTGGCAGCTGCAACATGACAATGTGTAGGTGCTAAAAGCCACATAAAGACCGTCAAGATGGCAAACCTTATGGAAAGGAAAGGGCAGTGAGGAAAGGGCAGTGAGTCCCCCCACAGAGGCCGGGCATAGCTCAAGTAACAGCGCATTGAGAGAGCTGCAGTGGGGGGCTGTGTGACACAGGTGCCACCACCCTGCCTGGCTGTATACTGCTGCACCAGGACAGCACCCCCACACCCCACACCGTCCCCTCAGAGGCGGGATCCCATCAGTGCCCAGCTGCCTCTGCTGCAACCAAGCTCTCCCATCTGCACGCACTGGTACTAACATGTGGAGCGGGCTGGCTGAACAGGGGGGAATTTTCTGAGCCTCCACACTGTGGCCCAACCCTGAACTGTCAAAGCCCTGGAGTCCCAGAGGTACCTGCAGACCAGGGTTTTAACAGCATAACGCCCCGCAGCAGCAACAAAGACACTGATGTTCACTCCCTCCACCTACCGAGGCCTGGCAAAGAGGACCCCACACCAGCCGGGCTCTGGCTTGGGCACGTCTGAAGCCGTGAGAACACAGATCGGTCATTTAAGCCATTATACTTTGCCAAACTCGCTGCTCCCTGTGGGGTCAGCTGTGGAGATAGCCAAGTCCTCAGCTGGCTCCGAGTTGGGGCTCTGACAGCAACCAATCCAGCCCCTGCTTGCTCTCCATGTTCCTGGTCTACAATGTTTAAACTCTAGTAGACATCCAGTTAATAACCCAGCTCTCACTGAAAAGCGCGGCCCCCACAATGTGGCTGCAGGCCCCACACCTTACAAAAGCAATTGTGCTGGGGGACCCCCTACCGCTCCTGTGGGCTGGCCTCCCTGTCCCAGGATGCTTGGGAGGAAAAGCAGGGCTCGGAGATCAAGTCTGGCCTTGTGCCTTACGCCAATGAGGAAGAGGAGGAGGAGCCTTTCCTCCAGGGGTGTGGACAGCTGGGCCTCTGCTTTGCAGTGAGTGTGTCCTACACTGCTGAGGGCCAGAGCCCATACCCGTTGGCCCCAGGAGCCCCACACATCTGCCTGGTGCCTGGCTCACTGTACTGGGCCTGTGCTGGCTCGGCCCATCAACCCTGTGATCTGGACAAGGATCACACCCACACCCTCACCTGGCCCTGTGTGATAACCCAGACTCACCTGCCATGCCACGGCCAGCTGAGCGATCTCACGGCCTGACAGGCCCTCCGCCAACTGGGCAACCTCGGAGCACTTCTTCCCATAGTCAAACTCGGCCAGCTTCAGACGCCTGCCAGAAAAACGCCAAATGTTGCCCAGGCTGGAAGACAGGCAGGAAGGCCCAGCTATGCTGCAGCTCAATTCCATCTGCACCCAGTCCTTCCTCCTGGAGCCTGGAGCCCCTCACCTGGCACCCCTGTGCACACCCAGCAGCAGCTCAGCTAAGGGCTCAGCCCTCAATGCAGAGCTGACTACACGGGCAAGCTCTCCAGGCAAGAAAGATGGGAACAAGGGACACAGGTCCACTCAGGAAGAGAGGTGTGGGAGCCAAGCCAAGGAACCTGGGACAGGGCAGACCAGCTATGGCCTTTTCAGAACAGAGAAGGTAACAGGACCTGGGCTGGTGACATACATCTGTCATCCCAGCACTTTGAGAGGCTGACACAAGAGGATCGCAAGTTGGAGCCCAGCCTGGGCAACCTAGTGACGTAGTGAGACCCTGTTTCAAAGTATAAAAATCAAGAGAGCTGAGAGTATAGCTCAGTGCAAAGTCCCTAGGTTCTGTGCCTAGCGCTGGGAGAGAAAAAGAAAAAGGCACAGTGTGAAAGCAGGAGGGATGTAGGTCAGGACACAGGAGAGGATGGAGCTGAGCCTGAAAACCGTGACAACTTGGACCTGGGCTCTGCCCTTGGTCCTGCAGCCCCTAGGCAGCAGTGGACAGTGGGGTTGGCCATCACCTCCAAAGCCAGCACCAGAGGCCCAGGACTTTGGGTAACAGAAAGGTCAGAACATGTCGATGGGTGGACAGGGCAGCAGCCATCCTCCGGGGGCCTGTGACAGCTGGGTAGGGGCCATGCAAAGGTGCGGGAAGGATGGGGCCCATGACAGCGAGGAAGGGCAGAGCCACACAAGCCAGACACTTACTGCTTTCCTTCCGTGGCTGGCTTAAGAACATACTTGTCAAAATACATTCTCACCAGGCGCTCACGCTCCTCGTGCCGCGGCAGGGCAAAGCAGACCATCTCATCGATGCGGTCATTGATGGCCCAGTCAAATTGCTCGGGCTGGTTACTGGCCAGCACCAGCATGAACCTGCACAACAGGTGCTGCTGCAGACCTCACTGCCACGCCCTCAGGGACACTTTCTAAAATAACCCTGCCTTCTCCCGTGGTGCTGGGCACAGAATGTGGGCTTCTGCATGCTGGGTGAGCACCAGGCCATGTTGCCACACTCCGCCTGTTCATGACAGGGTCTCACCATCTCCCCCGGCTACTTTCTACCTTGTAGTTCTCCTGCCTCAGCCTCCCCAAGTGCTGGGATTACAGTGTGTGCCACCACGTCCAGTTATGTTGGCAGTGTTTTTAGCCTAGAAGACTGCAGGGAGCCTCAGCGACCACTGTGCCAGGCCCTTTGCATCCCCCAAGTTCCACCCCACTCGGTGCCCTAAGTTCTGCTCTTGCTCAAGCTCACTTCCCCCACTGGGCAGTGCCCCAGCCAGACCTGGTGTCAGGGACAGATGGCTGCCACCCAGGCCCTGGTCACGAGTGGCAGTGGCAGCATGGCTTGCAGAGCCACACCATGCAGTGTGGGAGGGCTAGCCCTCCCTGGGGATGTGTGGACCAGGATAGGAGTGGGGTGTGGGCTCGGGGGCAGCCCCAAGGGTGCCCGGGAGTGGCGGGTGCCCTCACTTGCTGCTGTGCTGGCCCGTTCTGTGCAGGAAGGCGTTCAGGGTTGCCCTGAGGTCTTCGCTGATCTTCTCCTGCAGGGAGAAGGCCCACATCAACCTCCAGCAGGAGTGGCAGGGGCAGGACACATGCAGACTCAAGGCCAGAAGGCAGCTTCGAGCTGGCTCTTCCCCGCAGGGCATGCAGGTACCAGGAAGCCACCAGAGCACCAACAAAACCCAGATCAAGAGAGAGCCAAGCAGCAGCCTCCACAACCTCGTATCTCAGATACTCACGGTTGCCCGCTTCCTTAGGAAGGCGTCTGCTTCGTCCACAAAGAGCAGGAGACTAGGAACAAGGGGGCAGTGAGGGACACTGAGCACCATCCTGAGTCCAGGAGCTGCCCAGATGCTAGGAGATGCTGCCTAGGGAGCCCAGGGTGGTACCTGGTGAGAAGCCAATATGGGAGCCAAGAGAAAGCACTGTTCCTGCCTCCACAGCCCAGGCCACTATGCCCTCAGCCACCCTATGGGCAATGAGTCACACCAGGGGTCAGGGTCACCCAATGCCAAGGACAAAGGACATAGGGGAAGATGCCAACCAAGGATGTCAATGTGAGGGATGCCTGAGCTCACGTGGTTGGGCTGGCCATGCCACATGGAAGGGGTTGTGGGGACATCCCGCTCAGGGGCCACAACTCCTCAAAGTCCAGCAGAAGTGTACACACATGCATGTGCACACAGAGGGGTCAGCCAGCCGGGCCCAGCCCCGCCCCGCCCCCTCTGGCAAGAATGACATAGCCTTTGATACTGGAGACCCTGGGACCCCAGCATCGCCTTGGTGTCCTCAGTTACCACAGGCCCTGCAGACTGGAGAGGGGATGGCAGGGCCTGGGTGCTTGGGATACTCACCCTCGCCGGCTGGTGTTGGCCCAGTCAAAGACCTTGTGCATAGCAGTCACACCCTCACGCCCCATAGGGGCCACGTCCCCACCGGTCATGATGGCGTAGTCCATGCCTGAGTGCAGTGCCAGTTTCTAGGCAGGGAGGGGGCAGCAATGTTTACATCCACCCTGTATAGCCCTCATCCAACACAGACCCCCCACATCATTCCCACTGCACCTCATCTCATGGCACAGCCCAGACCCTCACCTTGGCAAACAGTGTCTTGCCAGTGCCCGGTGGTCCATACATCAGGATGTTCCTGTACAGGCTCTTGTTCTTCTTGGTGTTCCTTGTTGCTATGGCAATGTCCCGCACCCGTGCCTCCAGGCTGGGCTGCCGGGGCAGGCACAGTTGGGGATACCCATGGGTGCCCCTAAGCACAGCACACTCCCTGCCAGCCTGGAGTGGGTTTCAGGCACCAAAAAGCCACCAAGGTCTGAGAGGCCCAGCAGCTGGGCTCTGCTACCCTCTCCCTGGATCTATGCCACCCACCCTGGCCCTGGCTGCTCCCAGACTCACACTGAGAACGACTCCTTCCAGTGCATCTTGGGGCTTACTGAGCAGCCTCCTGCTGACCTGCAGGACACCAGTGGGGTCAGCTGGGCACAGGAGCAAGTGGTCTGCTGAACCCCAACCAGGACATGGGCCTTGGGGCTGAAAGCCAGGAGTCTGTGTGGACTTTACTAACTGGGTGGCCCGTGTGGACAACAGGCTGCCAGGGCAAGAAGGCAGCTGGGAGTTCACGCCCCCCCAGCAGGAAGAGGGTATAGGTGACAGGAAGGAAGACACGAGTGCTCCCTCCCTATGTGGCGGGAAGGCCGAGGGGATGAAGTCCAGCCAGGTACCTGGACAGGGTGCCTCAGCGCCTCCAGCACGGAGATGCGCGAGGTCTCCCGCACCAGCGACGGGGTCCCCAGCCGGGCCTCAATGTACCGGCCGGCAACGGCAGTGGCGTTCTTGGCAGAGTAGACCCCAACAGCCAACAGCGTCAGGCCCGCCACCTGCAGCAGAGGGAGGCAACAGCCAGTGAGGAGTGCGAACCATGCTCGCCCCAGCTGGGGCAGCCTGCACGCTTTCCTGCGAGGGCAGTGGGGGCACACTCTGCAACTCCTAGCAGGAACCCTACAGCTGGATGCCCCACAGGCCACACCTGTCCCCACTCTCCTTCCCCCAGAGAAATTAATTCATCCCTGCAAAATAAGGCTAGCTCTTCATCACTAATTCCTTTTAACTGCTGCTCAGTCAGCACACCTGGCATTGCCTCACATTGTGGGGTGGTAATGAATCACCTTAAGGGATGGAGGTGCCACACAGTGTGCAGCACTTGCCTAGTAAAGGCCTGGGTTCAACCCACACCATCACAAATAATGATAACAGTAATAATGAGGAGAAGAGGGAGAAAAAGACATGGACATGGTGGGGCATGCCTGTAGTCCCAGCACTTGGGAGGCTGAGGCAGGAGAATAGTTGGGAGTTAAAGGCTGGCCCAGACTACATAATAAGTTTGAGACCAACCTGAAACTACATAGCAAGAACCTGCCCCAAAAAACAAGCAAAGAAAACTATCTCAAAAAAAATGAAGGGCTGGGCATATAGCTCAGTATTTCAATTCCCAGTTCCAAAAAATGAAACAAAAAGAAAAGCGGGGGAAAGGAAGGGCATCCTAGTGCCAACAGCAGCCATACTGTGAGGACCCAGTCACATTTGTGAGGCTGCCAGCTGCTCACTGCCCAGCGGGTATGGACCACAGACATGAGCGACGTGCCCAGCCCCCTTGCAGAGTCCCTGCTGGGGCCGCTCCTGTCCCAAGTTGCTGGACCTGGCCCACTGAAGGTCCTCACCAACCCTCCTGGGATGCTGGACATGACATCTGCTCCCCTCCCTGTCTGTCTTCTGGCTGCCTGGCTGGAGATCCAAAGCCTCGAACACAGGCTGCTAAGGCAGCCCAGGCCCCAACAAGTGTAGCTCATCCCCAGAGGCCCAGGAGAGGCAGGGCCCAGAAAGCCCCCAGGCTCTCGTCCACACAGCCTGTATGCAGAGCTCTAGTCACAGGAGGAAAGTAGGAGCACAGTGAGGCCTGTGCTCAGCCCCTGCCCCACATGGTCTGCTCCCTCTGTGCTTCCCTGCCATGCAGTGACACAGCCAAGACACAGTGACAGCCACTTGGACCTCCAGCACTAGCGTCACGAGTAAACAAACCTCTTTGCTTTAGTAGTCACCAGCGCACAGCACGGGCTCCGACGCAGGACTGGCCCAGGCGTGCGAGCACCTAGAGTCCAGCTGGTATGGGAGGGATGCCGGAGGAGGGGCAGTGGGGCAGGGTAGCACGCAGGGCACCTCACCAGGCCAGCAGGGCACGGGGTGGAGGTGCAGCTGGGAGGCCCCCAAGCCGTACTCAGGCATACACGGTGCATACCGTGGCTGTCACTTTGTCCCAGTCGGTCACAAAGGCACGGAATCCTTCACCAAACAGGGTGCCAGCTGTCCTGCAGGAGAAAGGAGCCACACAACTGAGGGACCAGGGACCTGTGCACACACTGGAAGACGTCAAGGTTGAGACCCCAGTGGCCCAAGGGCTGGCACATGTAGGACCTGCTGAGATAGGCAGCAGCCCTCAGCGGCCAGCATCAGGGCCCACGAGGTGAGTAGCAGGCCCCAGGCACTGCTGTGGCCTCACCTGATGGACTCCAGGATTGTCTGGCGGTGCTCTGCGGCCTTCAGGCGGATCTGCTCTCGGATGATGTCTGCATTCTCCCTCTCCGCCTTGGCCCGGGCCTGTGCCTCTGCTTCCACACGCAGCATCTCATTCTTGTGCCGCAACTCCATCTCCCGCTCCACAGTGGCTGCCGGGAGGAGGCAGGGAAAGAGCTCAGTCCAGCCCGCCAGCCTGTGCCCATGCTGCAGTCACGTGCATGCAGACTAAGGGTTACACAAAGACCCTGCGAACTCCACCGTGTAGAGAGGACCCAGGAAATGGCTCCTGGGCCCAGGCGGCCCTTCTTAGGATCGCTGTTTGAGGGGGCCAGGGGTGGTGCTGGGGACTGGCCCCTGGGCTTTGGGCACGCCCAGCAAGGGTTCTACCCATCCCTGAGCCACACCTCCAGCCTGGCAGCCCTTCATGATAATGTTCAAAGACTCAAAAAACTTAGAAAATTGCAAAAGAAACCCACTTACATCAAAACAGAAAAACTATGGACACACTAACAGGGCTGAAGGCCAATTACCCCTGACTACAGACACCAAAGGATAAATCCACTGCCACCATAGCAATCCACAGTCCCCACAAACGTACGGCACCAGGAAATTCTCAGCTCGTGTATGAGGCCTGCGTGCACAGGAGATGACAGAGCAGTTGGGGCAAGATGTAGACGTCCCACACTGCAGGAGTGGGGGCTGCAGAAGGAGCCCCTGTGAGAGCAACTCCCAGCCTCAGGGCACTTGTGTGCTTGGGGACTAAGGTCCCCACATGGCTCCACTCGGCCAGGGGCCCCATTGCCCAAGCCTCTTCCGCAGCCTCGGTGACTCCTACCTCGCCGCATGGCCTCCTGCTTCTGCACGGACTCCTCCTGCTTCCGTAAATTCTCCTCATTGAGAAGTTGCTGAAAAGCCATGGAGAAAGGCAAAACTTTAAAAGCAGAAAATCAACACTGCGCAAAGGGGTCACAGCTGCCTTCTACTGGGGAATCTGCTCCCGAGGGACTCCAACTTTCTTGGGGACCCAAAGGCCTGCTGCCTCCAACTGTGATGCAGGTGTCTGACTCTAGCCCAGTACAGGCCAACGCCAAGAGCTGGGCTCAGAATTCCCCACCCAAGTAGACGAAGCCTCTATAGCAGCATCACAGGACGTGCATGCACCACTGCCCAGCCCTCCGGCTAAGTCTAGCGACTTCCTCCTGAGCCCCACGGACTCAGGACTAAGGCTGAGCCTAAGCAGGGGTCCCCAGGTTTGGGACTGGGCTGGCTCAACAGCCACTGCCCTCACTGGTCATCCAGGTGCCCCAGCACTTATCACCCGGTGAGAACTGTCAGAAGGGCTGAAGGCTATGCGTGCCTCAGAACACACAGTGCTATGTGGCTCCCTGTCCAAGGCACCCCAGGATAGCAGCCAGCATCAGTAAAGTGACCCAAGTGTCTGCCTAGGACCAGGTCCATGGCTGCCCCTCACCTGCTGCTTCAGCTGGTCATCATAGCGCTGCCGGGCCAGCTTGTCCTGGTACTGGGCCCTCTAAGGAAGAAATGAGCAGTGGAGAAGCCTCTGGATGGTCAGAAGCCACGTCCAAGTTCAGATCCCCTCAACTGGGCGCGCCCCCCGAGGATCTGGTGGGGGTTCTGGGCACTGTCTAACGCCAATACCTGGGAGACCCTGGTCAGTGATGGAGGTCCAGCCGTGTGCGTGTACACACACACACACACACACACACAAACACACACACTCTCAGCGCACCCATGGCCTGCACCCGTACTGCCTGGTGCTGCCGCGTCTCCTCACTCAGGGTCTTCCTCCTCTCCTCAGCCTGCACACGGATCTGCTCACTCTTCAGCTGCTCCACAGCGGCCTCGTACTCCTGGGGAACACGCCACAAGGGTGCTGAGGCTCCCTCCACCCACATCCCCACTGCTTATCCCGGCTTCGCAGCAGGCCCAGGCCGGGTGGGAGGCACTGCTGGAAATCAGCCTGGATCAACCCCACACTGTACTGGGCTGTACCAATGCTCACTGAGAGGACCCGAGCACAGGCAGAGGTAGAAGCAAAAAAGCCTGGAAAGGCCCCCAAGGAGCAGGACCACACCAGGATGGACTGTGCCAAGGGGCATCAGCCACTTCCAAGGGCAGAGGGCACGGCCTGCTCTGGCATGGAGAGTCAGGCTGGTGCAGAAAAGGGGAAAGTAAGGTAGGAACCCAGGAAAAGATCCCACCCTAGGAAGACCAGGGCCTCCACTGTCACCCAGCCCACTGGGAGCTCTGCTGCAGGCAGCCTCACATCCAGCACATTCTGTTGGGGATGTGGCACCCAGGCTGGGCCACTGTCTTGTGCGTGTCCTGTGGCTCACCTTGAGCTTGGACTGTTGTTCCAGCTGCAGCGTCTGCTCCTGCATCTGTGCAAGACTCAGTGCCTCTTTGGCATGGCCTGCAGGGCACAGGAGAGAGGGCACTGGGACCCAGGTCTGCCTGGGGCAGCAAGCAGCCACCTGCTCTGCTCAGGGCTGAGAAACCAGCCTCAGCTCTACCTCAGAACCGCCGCCGCACTGCCCAGCCCCGCCAGGTCCCTGTGAATGAGAGCCCAGCTGGGCAGGGGCACACCCCAGGGCCATCCCATTGTGGGAAGTGCCCTCGGAAGGTTGCCATGCCCAGCAGCACAGAGCAGGGTTGCAACGGTGAGTTTCCCAACAAATACAAAGGGGCTTTGGCTGGAGGGACTTTGTTGTTCATGTTACACACATTCGTCTTCAGCTCCCATGAGGGATGAATGGTATTTAAAGAAAGCTAGCACCATAGTGGACACCTGCAATCCCAGCTACTCAGGAGGCTGAGCAGGACAACCATAAAGTTCAAGGCCAGCCTGGCCAACATAGAAAGACCCCAAAAAGGGCTGCAAACATATTTGAGTCATAGAATGTGTGCCTAGCATGTATGAGGCTATGGGCTCAATCCCCAGTACTCCAAAGATACGTAAATAAATAGTAGAATTAAATGAGAATTAAGCCAGACATAGGCAATGCACCTGGGCTTATCATACACGAGTTACAAATACGTTCTGTGTGCTTCCACAGCGCAGTAGTGATGCCTGTCCATATGCAGATGTCATGAAGCAAAACCTGACTCCAGCACCCTCCTAGCTGAAGAGCCTCGGCTTCAGGTCTCAAAATGTTCTAACAACGACTTTCCATTCTTAATATCATATCACAAAACCACTCCCAGGAACAAAAACATGGGAAGGGTGGCATCACTTGGGAACCCAGCCCTGATGTCATGATGCCCCTGCCTCACTCTTCTGCCCATCACTGGCCTTACTTTCTGAAGTTCTCGGGGTCAGAAGGAACCACAGTGACTCCCCATGGACTGGAGCCGAGAACATAAGAGATGGATGCACACTCGGAAGGCAAAGGGACCCCAGCAAGGCCTGTGGCAGACACAGCCCACACAGCAGTGTGCAAAGCGCCGATGTCTGTGGTAGCGGTTTCACAGACTCGGCCAATAGGTGACAGGTCAGAGCTTGGGAAGGCCCTCTGGCACCAATACCTCAAAGCCCCATTCTCCAGTGACCAGGACAGATGACAAAAGGCCCTGACTCTGACGAGAAGCAACAGGAAGGCAAAAGCCTGCCACATTCACCACAGACCTTCAAAGCCCCCAGGAAAGGGTGGAGAGGCAACAGCTCCCAGGTTGTCATCCCAGCATGGCAGACAGCATCAAGGGTGTCACAATCCAACAAAGCTAAGACCAAACCCCAGCTGCCCTGTGTACTTTCTTTCTTTGAGACAAAGTCTCTATATACATTTCAGGCTGGAGTCGAACTCAAAGCAAGCCTCCTGCCTCAGCCTCCCCAGTGCTGGGATTACAGGTGTGCACCACCATGCCTGGCTTTTGTTTTGTTTTTTGGGTTTTTTTGCCCTGTGTGCTTTCAATGTGACTTTTGTCAAGCTCTGATAACTTTGAGGACTTTTCCTCCCTGAGACTGTAATACTTACACTTTTCCTGGGAGACTGAAATCACAGAAAGCAGGTGCCCATGTGCCTTCCCAGAGTCACAAGGTGTAATTTAAATGACTACTGCTAACTCACCACCCAAGACACCCCACCCCTTGTGCACTCACTACTCAGATAACATTCCCCCAGACCCAAACCGGTGGGGTCTAGACCCAACGTGCTGCTCTAGCTTTTTAGGAGGGGTCCAGAAGAGGGTGTGGAAGACCCTGGGAGCAAAGCAGCACCAGGCTGGCAGAGAAGGTGGTCAAACTGTGAGGAGGGCTGCTGAGGGAGGACAGTCTCCACTGGCTTGGGGAAGGGAATGGGTTCAATATGTTGACCAAACCACAACTGCTGCAAGGATGGGTCTGGGCATGCGGAGTCTGGTGAACCAGGAATATCCAGAGGACAGGCTTGCAGAGGGGCTGTCAGGTGGACAGGCATGAGGCACCCTGGGAAGGTTTGAGACAGGAAGGCCAAGAGAAACCCCAGCCAGCATGAAGCTAGGGAGGATGGCAGGAATAAAAATGGAGAGTGCACCATGGGACAGGATCCACAAGAGAGTCGGCTGGGCTGGAAAAGAGGGCTCAGCCAGAGGGAGTAGAGGCCAAGGCACTGGACCCAATATAGAAGTTCCAAGGCAGGAGTTCCAGGTCGACAAGCCCAAGAGGCTGGGGAGCAATTCAGAAGCAGGATGGAGAGGACATCCAGGGCTGCTCCCCAGACAAACCCCAGGCTGTCCCCACAGGCCTGTGTAACTGCCTGGAGTTGGGAGCTAAGAGCCAAGACCCAACTTTGAGATATGGAACTTTTGTTTCTGAAGCTGGGTCTTGCTATAGTTCAGGCTGCCTATAAACTTAGTACATAGCCCTGGCTGGCCTCAAACTTGTGGCAATCCTCCTGCCTCAGCCTCCCAAGTGCTGGGATTACAGGCATGCGCCACCACACTCAGAAGGGCAAGGTTAATGCGCAAAAACCTGGAGAAAGTGCAGAAAAGTGTCCTGTAACAGAATCTTAGTCCACAGATCTGCTGCCATCAGAGTTGCCTGAAGCCCACCCACTGTTTCCCATTCCAATCTAATCATTAAAATTGCCCAGCAGCCAGATATGGTAGTGTACACCTGTACTTCCAAGAGGATTGCAAATTCAAGCCCAGCCAGCATAACTAAGACCCAATCTCTAAATAAAAAATTAAAAATGGGCTAGGGATATATCGCAGTGCAAAGGCCCTGGGCTCAATCCTAGCACCTCCACTGTTTTTTTAAAAAAAGTTTTTTAAAATCTATAAATTTAATGGATTATCTGCAAGACTACCTAGCCCAGCCTCAAAAGACATGCAAGCAAGACATGATGATGCACACCTATGGCCCATTTACTGGGAGTCTGAGGCAGGGGAGAGGATTTGAAGGACTATGTAGGAAGTCCTGTTTTTAAAAATTAGTTTGCCTGAGCCAGGCGTGGTGGCTCACACCTGTAATTCCAACACTTGGGAGGCTGAGGCAGGAGGATCGCTGTGAGTTTGAGACCAGCCTGGGCTACAGACTGAGTTCCAAACCAGTCTCAACTACATAGTGAGACCCTGTTTCAAAAAAACAAAAAAAAACAATAATAATAATAAAAAATAAATAAAAATTAGTTTGCCTGGCACAGTGGCACGCTCTATAATCTCAGCACTCAGAGGCTGAGGCTGAAGGATTACAGGGAGTTTGAAGTCAGCCTAGGCCTCACAGTGCGTCCAAAGCCAGTCTACGGATATAAGTGAGACCCTGTTTTTTTGGAGGCGGAGACATGTTGTCTTGAGCCCAAATCTGAATGCTCTGAAAGTCCCTCCCCGGATCTGAGAGCCAGCCAAGCTGGAGACTATTACCCAAGATGTTTTTACAGCCTCCAGGGGAAGGGCAGAGAACTGAGACACCAAGCAACAGGTCCTCCTTCCCTGTACCTGCTTCACACCCTACTTAAGGGGATTTTTCTTTGCAACAGAGTTCATGCCTAAATAAAAGTCCAAGATACACTATATTGTCTCAGTATTTATTCAGCACATTCCACACTCCAGCTTCTTAAGCACTCTAAACTACAGTACATCTTGATACAAATCATAGAACCCACAGGAAAAAGGAAAGTTGGGGAAGAGACCTGAGCTTAGTGAAAGTCCAGGCACTGCTGTGCTGACACCTGGTGCTGACCCCTGCTTCAGGGCCCTCACAGGCCTAGCCCAGCACCCTCTGGCCTGTGGCTTTACACCCGTCTGAAGGCTACTGTTTTCCGGTTGTAAACGTGAAACGTGCTATATTATCGTTAAGACCAAATGACTAGAATACGTCTCCACTGTTCAACGGAAAATTGCTACCAGCAACCACGCACAGGGATCTCGCCACCCGGCCACGCCTTGGCCTGGCCCACGTGGCCCCTAGATTTGGCAGCAACTGAATATCTGGCCCCGCATGCACCACAGCCTGCCCCTCTGCACTGGTCTCCTCATCTGCTGCACTCCTGACAGCTAAAAAGTGCAAGAAGGTGACACGACCCGAGCCCCCAGCACGCAAGATGGCCTGGCCCGTCGACTCCCCGGCCAATCGGCTCACCGGCAAAGCAGGGCTGCCGACAG